TACATCGTTTTAAATTCTAGTTGTATACAAACTCAATTGAGAATTTTACCTATAAATAGTGTGCAATTGTCCCACAATTCACCACCAAATAATTTTACAAGCCAGCTTTTATGTAAAGTAGCTGTAAATTATTAGTATATTTTTTTTCAAAATCAAAAGCTCGTTTGATCAATTAAGGTAAGATACTTTTGTGCAAATGGTTTGTTTCCTTATACTTTTATGTTCAATAGTTTATGCATAAATTGCCGGTGGACCTTCGGGTTCGATTTAACGAAATGTGAAATCATTCGAAAAATCCAAAATGAGAAATGATGGGTATCTCGCTTGGTCACCGATATACTCCATAAAGATAAATGTGTATAAATTGTCTATATTATTGTTATATAATTGAATATAGAAACTGCATGTATCTTACTAGGTATTTTTAAATACTCACTCTTATTATAATTTTTCAGGTTAGTGCGGATCGATTAGAACTATGACGAAATGATGCAGCGGACTGTCAAGGGATTTCGACATACGAAAGACACTAAGTTTTACTGCCTTTAGATTTATTGGTTCGAAATGTTCAAATATTATTATTGAATTAGTTAGTTAAAAATGTATATTTTTTTAAAAGATACGATTTCATGATTTAAATTTAAGTTTATGAGTGTTCAAATATTTTGTTTATTAAAATTTTTTTATATTTTATCGTTTCGCAAAGAAATTGGAATCTTGGTAACGCCCCAACGTTTGTAAAAAATTTGGGGCGTTACAGTTTGGTATCAGAGCAAATGTTTTGCCTTCCTGTAGACTTTGTAAAAAAACAAAAATTACAGATTTATTTTCTTTTCTTCTAAATGATTGATATTAATGATACTTTAAAATTTATATTTTAAGAAGTCTCAAATTTTATTTATTGTTGAGTTTTCTTGATTTGAGTATTTGTAAGATTGAAATGCTTTGTCAAAAAGACATAAACTGTCTAATAAGAGTTTGAGATTTAAGAAGTCCGCTTGTGACCCTCTTCTCATCTAGAAACCTTTGGTTGCGCATCATTCAAATTAATAAAACAAAAAACAATAATTCAGGCCTTTCTAAATTTGAAAATATTCTATTTTCTAAAAAATTTTCTTTATTTCGAGAAAATCCTAAGGGGGGTATTTTTCATATACATTAGAAGTTTACGAACATTGTAATTTTTTTTTTAAAGTCTTAAAACATGTAAGGAAATGAAAAATTATTGGCACGTGGTGCTTACTATTCGACACTCTCCAATTGATCCAAGGTATGAAATGAAATATCATTTTTTTTATCACGATTATGAGTTTTTTTTACTTTATGTTATGATATATTATAATTATATCAATGGTAAAGTATCTAGGATTTTTCAAGTAGTTGAAATAATTTCGAGGACGAAGTTCTTTTAAGGGGGGAGATTGTAACGCTTCGAAAATTTAGAATAAAAATTTTTATTTATTTTATATAGTATATTTTTAATATTTAAAAAAATGAGGACTAAAATGAAATAGATTTTAAATTTTTATCTTATTTGAGCCAAATAATTATGTATCTATAGAGTGATAAATGTTGATTTTGATAATGATTATCTTTTGTGATTTAGATAGAGTTTGATTGCAATCTTAATTTGATGAAGTTTAAAAGTATTCATAGTTCTATCTTTTGAAATCA